CAACATGCTATGTTTAAGCATCAATATTTAAAATACATAATTATACATGACACTTTACTCATAATATCTGTTATTTTAATAAAACTGAAAAAGACAACTTATCCTGGACTTAACACTTTCAAACTTGCACCATGCCCAAGAAGCACAATGACCATACTTGTTTAACAATTTTAAAACCTTAGATGATCCTGTCAGATGTCTGACAGTCAAACCAAGACCAAGAGACTTTGGAGTTTGCTTTTTTCCCTTTGATGTAAGGTACACAATATCTTGACAAATTGATAAAAGTTTCAGGTGGCTTTCACTTGAAACATCAACGTATGATGTCAGGGTTGGTTCATCTGTGGCACGACACACCAAGCAATTAAGTTATAGATTTGAAATGGAACCATCTCCTTGACTGCATCAAGGTTAATATCTTCAGCTGTTGGGGGCCATGGGGAACTCATAGTGGGTGAAGCTTTTATAGCATTATACACAATGGTACCTGCATTGTAAATTGTTCTTTGTTTTTCTTGATCCATATGAGACAATTTAGGCCTGATTTCTTCCGACTCATTTTCTACTTCTGAGCTGTCAACAGGAGATGATTCCTCCTCAGAGGTGGAAAGAAGATCCAGAACATTACCGGTAGTCAACTCCTCTGTAAACACCATCTCAGCTTGATTTCTACGATATGGTTTATGGAAGCATAACTGTGGAAAGTCCTTCCTTAAACGGTACTTAAGTTGATCAGTTCTGAAAAATATAAATTACATTATATTTAAATAAAATTCAAGTTAAAGTTTTGGCCTCAACACAAGAAATATTTCATAGTTTTTTTGCATGTTAAATTTACATCTTATTTACCAATTTGGCTATTAATTGCTTTTGCTAATAGTCCATTTACACATAATAATCTAACTATTTACTGCCATGGTTTCCTAATACTGCTATAAATAATTTCAAAATTTCAAATTTTTTTTTAATTGTGTTTTGATTTCTTAATATTTCTTACCTGTAATTTGTCATTTCAAGCCCTTCATGCTTTTTAACAATTTTTGAAAACAACTGAAGTAACTTGGTCATCCTTAAAATCTCATGGTTCTTGATAATTCGTTGCTGGATGATTATCTCAGAGAAAATTTTGTACGACTTGTCATATTGGTGGTCCTCATCGTTTCTAAGCAGATAAATAAGGGCAAATTGTTAGATTTTCACTCCCATCCGCATCAAAGATTTGGGGAATATTGATGCAGGAATAAAAAAAAAAAACATTTTTTACCACATTAATTATTTTAACAGCTTAAAAAAAAACAATGCAATTTTGTGACTGGAAGTATACTTTCTTTAAAAACCAATAAAATTAAATTATTTTTTACACAATATGTACAATATTCTTTGCCAAATAAAAACAGACTCTCCCCAGCTAACAATATTACGTTATAAGAACGTTATGATAACTTTACAGTTTGGTGATAAAAATGTTATTTTATAGAACCCTTATGTACATACTTACAACCTAATTTCACAACCTCACAACGTTTAAACGTTCTTACAACGTTGTGTGAAGTTTATTTTGTGACATACCTAACCACAACATTCGCGAACGTTATAAAAATGTTTTGTGTTTGCTGGGTCCCTCATCAATAAAAAAAAAACAA